TTCTCTAATGATAAAAATTTTATTTGTGAAGAAGTTCATGAAGTCATCACTAGTTAACGTTAAAGGGATGGTTGGCTCAAAAGAGCTCTGACTTTTAAAGTACACTATATTTCCAACTGTGTACTGTGATAGGATGCCACCTGTTCAACAAGTCCACTTGTGAAATTTCCTCACTACTAAATATTCCACAGTCAGCTGTTAGTGGTGTTATAATGACGTGGAAGTGATTGGGAATGACAGCAACTCAGTCATGAAGTGGCAGAGCACGTAAAATCACAGAGTGGGGTCAGTGGATGTTGAGACACACAATGCAAAGAGTTCTCCAACTTTCTGCAGAGTCAACTGCTACAGACCTTCGAACCTCATGTTGCCCCTCGGACTCAGCCCCTCAGTTCCAGTGAAAGAAACGTAATGCTTCAGCATAACAAGGTATTTCAGACAATTTTATATTCCCAACTTTGTAGAAATAGTCTGTCAATGGTACTTTCCTGTTTCAAAAAGACTGCACACGAGTGCAGAAAGCAAGGTCCATAAAGACAAGGATGAGCAAATTTGGTGTGAAGAATTTAACTGGCCTGCAGAGTCCTGACCTCAACCTGACAGAAAACCTTTTGGATGAATTAGAGTGGAGACTGCGAGCCGGGCCTTTTCACCCAACATCCGTGACTGACCTCACAAATGTGCTTCTGGAAGACTGGTCAAAAATTCCCATAAACAAACTCCTAAACCTTGTGGAATGAATTCCCAGAAAGGCTGAAGCTGTTATAGCTACAAAGGGTGGGTCGACATTATATTAAACTATGGATTAAGAATGGGACATCACTCAAGTTCATATGAGTGAGAAGGCAGCTGCACGAATACTTTTGGCAATATAGTATATTTGAAGAGTGAATTTAAAGGTATTTATTGCAACTACCTATAAATAAAAAAACTTGTTAAAGTGCATATTCACATAAATTTAAACAAATGGCCTGAATCATACCTTCAAAAACACAACACTGAACATGACTTTCCACTCAAGTCTGCAGTGAGAGAGGTTGTTTTAATTATCAGCAAAACCGATGAGCTTACCTCAAGCAACATGAGCAGAAGCACCCTGGATATCTCACATTTTGCCACAATGTCCAAAAAGGCACCTTTGTTGCCAAGAAAGTAAAATTAAAGATGAGAAATTAAGACATTTTTCCTCTTAGTGCAAATAACATGAAAAATCTGCACAGCAGCGAAAAAAAGACAATCATGAGGGAATGCTGCTCTTAATTATCCCAGTTTTCAAGTTGAATTGTGTTAATCAATTTAAGATACTGGATACAGCTTTAGTTAAGAAAACACAAACTGCTAAGGCTGTAATAACACCCCATCTTTACAAAACTCTGCTAATATCATTTTTTATCAGATGCTCACCAACAGGGGTGATGGAGCCTGGTAGCTGCAGTCCTTTCTCCTGACAGATCAGCTGCATCTCTGTGAACACTGACAAAGCACCGTCATAATCACCTGGAAAAGAAAAAAGAAAAATCATGAAAACACAAACTCACAAACACAAGTCACGTCAGATCCTGTTTGCACAGCAAACAAACTGCAGCTACCCAATCAGAACCGACAGAACTCACGGGTGAGGATTTTACACGTGGCCATTTCTCCCATCGACAGCAAAGCTTCAATGGGTGTTTGCGTCTGTAACTCTGCAGCCCTCTGATAATGAACAATAGCCTCTCCTGGTCTGTTCATCTCCTATTGAGGAAGACAGGAGAGTAACGATGAATCCTTTTTTCCATCATTTGCTTAAAAAAAAAAAAAAAACACCCCCCAAAAAAAGCAATTCTGGGTCATTTATCCTGAGAGACAGCAGCTTTACCTTGAGCGCGTTGCCAAGTTCCAAACACAGGCTGGCTGCCATCACAGGCTGGTTCATCTCAATATACACCTGCAATTCATTTGTACATCAGAATTCAGTCACTATACAAGAATGTACTCCACAATCTTTTCTCCAGACCCCGATCTAATGAAATATTCCATGGTGAATCTGCTTTATTTGCTGATTTCTTCTGGAGTGCATTTACTGCATCAAACACTAAAAATCTATTTGAAAACTAGAGCTGATCATACCTTAGTGGCGAAGCTATAGCAGTTGAGAGCAGCCTGGAGGTGTTCATCAAAGCCTGGAGCCTGCAGTGCCCTGTTCTCCTTCTCAGATGAGAGGAAGAGGCGAGCAGCGTCAGTTAATGCCAGTGCCTCTCCAGGAGCATTAAAGAGAGTCTGCTCACACCTGCAGTCAAGACATCGAGGATGTATAACAACAGCCGATAGGTCACTGTCATGACTATGAATGCTACGCTCTCCCTGTGGGCCAATTAAGACTACTGCTGACCACTGAGGACTCATCACTCCACTGACTGTACCTTTATGTAACAACCGCACATGCTGTTTCTTTGTTTTTTTAAACAAGAAAAGGTAGTGATCTGCTCTAAATATTTTAAGCTAAAAAATATAATATTAGATTTATAGAACTTAAAAAACTAATAACAAACATGCGTGTCATTTGAAAGCTAAATAAGCTAATTATGACATAAATATAATAATAAAAGTGTGAATTTTTTTATCTAATTGTCCTCATGAGGACATGCTACTTATACTTTTGTCAAAAATTTCATCATTTGTGTCTGAAAAAAATGATAGCGGACGTAGGAAAAATAACTAAAATTTACTTATTACACGGCATTATGTGGTGAAACCACAATGAGTAACGGCATTATTTTCAAGCTTCAAGTCAGCCCCCTCTTAAAGTCTTTTATGCTTGGTTCTACACTTGAATCTTTTATGACCTGAATGTAGGACAAGCGTGTGAATATTTGATCAATAAACCTGAGTGTGATCCTTGAGCATTTCACCCCAAAATAATGATGATGAGAAAGTTTCTGCAGTTTCCTGGCAGAGATCCCAGAAATTTTGGAAGCAAGCAGAAGGATTTACTCCCAGTCTTCTACAAGAACATCAGTGAAATCAAGCGCCTCGTTACTGAGTGGAGTGGCTCAGCTCACGAGGCAGAGCAGGTCATCTGCTAATCAGAAGGGTTGGTGGTTCGATCCCTGGCTGCTCCAATCTGCATGCCAAATATCCTTGTGCAAGATACCAACCCAAGAGAGTCTCACCCATCAGAATATGAATGTGTGCAAATGAGAGGCAGAAAGCACTTAAAGAAAGAGGATAGAATAAAAGTGCTTGTGTGGGTGAATGAGGGAAGTTGTGCAAAGCACTTTGAGTGCTCAGCTAGACTAGAAAAGTGCTATACAAGAACCAGTCCATTTACCTACTTCCATAGACAAAATCAAGCTATGAACAATATCACTTTGCTATATACAGTCTCTCTCTCACACACAAACACACACGGAAAAGTGTGTGTCTGTGTTAAGGCAATAAGTCTGTGTTACTGTATTTGAAATCTATGCATTTTTACCGGTTTGTGCATGGACTGCACAAGTATCTGGATCTGTTATTGAGGAACTGCTCTCCATTCCTGGGTGAGTGCAGTCTGCAGCTGTGCAGTGCACACTGCTTGTTGACTCAGCATGTACCAGGCATGTTAGATAGGAAACATATCAGGGTTAATGCTGGCCAAGGAAGTCTCAGGATACACCACTGATCTAGAAAGCCCTGCACTACTCTGGCACTGGAGGAGCAGCATTATCCAACTGAAACAACTGCTAGATGGGCGCTGCCACATGAATGGCACAAGTACAGGCGAGAGGACCTCATCACAGTGCCTCTGTTTACTCAGATGCCAAACGTCCAGATTTGGTGAGATGACCACCTCCTGGAAGTGCCATAGTGGTCAGGCACAATATGTGCCATGGAGCGGTTAAGGGTTGGTACTAGGGATGTTCCTGGCGACTAATAATTTCTTAGTCGACTAAGAAATGACTAGTGTACAACTAGGAAGCTGTATAGTTAAACTTGGGAATTGTTTAATGTCAAAAACTCTCTAAACGAAGGAACAGCCTCAACTGGTTCCTGTTGATGTAGAGGAGCAGCAGCTCTATCTGAATCCCTCCTGAATGGATGAACTCCTCACCCTATCGCTAAGGAAAAGCTCATCCTACTTTCAGAGCAAGCTTTTTTTTTTTTTAACCACTTGTATCTGCGAGCTCAGTTTTTGGCCTTAAAAAAAAAAAAACTAGCAATAATGGTGTTAACATAAAGATCAAGCTGAGATTTATAGCATTTCTCACCAATGACACACCATCTGGTGGCAGATAGCTGCATAGCATTAGGACGCAACAATTTACCAGAATTGGTTATCAATTAAAATGCAAAACAATTAGATTAAACGACTAGTACATCTTGTACAAACTAGTGACAATAGCAACAAGCCAGCTAGTTACATAAATTCCCTAGTTGGGACTCTGGTTGTCCAGTCCTTAGCTGTTATTCCTGTTGCTCTATGTATGCAGGACAAACGCTGCTGTTCTACATGGTTCTGCAAGAGCATTTTTCTTGTTAGAAGGGAGTTTTTCCTTCCCACCATTGCAAAGTGCTTGCTCATGGTGGGTTGCTTAATTGTTGGGGTTTTTCTCCAGATTATTGTGGGGTCTTTACTTGTGCGAGGTGCTTTTACACCATAAGGTGCCTGTTGCTGTGCTTTGGCACAATTCAGTTGAATTGAATACGGATCCACTCACCGAGCCATGGCCAGGTTACAGAAGGCAGCATACTGAAGGCAGTCCTGCTGCTTCAGCTCCTTTGCCAGCTGACCTGAAAGCACAGGTAAAGACAAGCCTGGTGACATTTATTCAGCCTCTATCATTTAACAGCACAGGAGAGGCGCCGACTCTTCTGTGCGGCAGTATAGGCTGGATCACAGCATTTACATGGATGGACTAATGTGGCACTCACCAAATTGCTCACTTGCCTCCGCCACATTGGGCTTCCGAAGAAAACGCCTACAAAAGAAAACAAAGTATTTTCACATTTTAAAACATCTTAGATAGCCAACTGTGATACACGCCAGCTAGATAAACATAGAATATCAGTACTGTGGCAAACTACCGGCTAGTTATGGGTTAATAATAATAATAATAATAATAATAATAATAATAATAATGGATTGCATTTATATAGCGCTTTTCGGGGCCCTCAAAGCGCTTTACAATTAGCTGTCAAACAGCACCAACAACTCATCGCTTATTTTTCGATTAACCTGGGCTAAATATCTCAAAATGACCAAATATTTCACTACAAAACAAGCAAATGGCTAACAGTAACGCTAGCTTAGCCTATTAGCACTAGCTGAAAGCCGTTACCTCGCATTCAGTCTAAATAACAAATTAGCTATTCCCGATATTCGTTCGTCTTTCTTCTTAAACAAAGCCATTTCAAAGCCTTACTTTTTCAGTTTATTTGACACAGCTCGGTATCTCGCCAGAAAATCGCCCTCCGCAGCCATGATCAATGCAGGCAAACAAACCACACCAGGAAGTCCAAGTGACAGCAGCCTCAACTCACGATTTCATTGGTCGGCGTCGGCAATTGCGTGACGCATGACGTAAAGGACATGCCCAAATGAGTAGAAAAGCTACAGCTCCGGACAGAAGCAGGTGACAAGAGACACATTTATTCAAAATCAGCTACCTGTTACCTACAGTTTCTAAGGTGAGAAGTAGACTCCACTTGGAAAAAAAGTGGAGACTTCTGGCCCTTCAGTTGATCCATCTACTGTTCACTGAAGCCTCATCAGAAATGGTTTCAGTGGAAGGTGGCTGTTAAACAGCATTGTTAATGAATGGAAAAGGGAAGAAAAGGCTATGGTGTGCAAAATTAAACAAGAGCTGGACTGAAAATCAGTGGCCACAGGTCTTATGGAGTGATGAATCCAAATTGGAAATTTTTGGTTCAAATCATCATCAGTACGGCGGAGCTTAGGAGAGAGGTACAACAGAGAGTATGTGCAGCCATGTGTATAACACGGTTGAGGCTCTGTCATGGTTTGGGGCTGCCGCTCAACTGGGGGTCAAAAATGAATGAAACTATAAACACAGGATTTTGATCTTTCACGCAAAACTATTTGGCATCTGATTGTTAGCTACTCCATTTTTGAGCATGAAAGTGATCCCAAACTAACTGAACTAAAGGAAAACCAGCAATAATAATAATTAAAAAAAAAACCACAGACACACACACTGTCAGTTATGGAATTGATCCCCCCAGAGACCAGACTTTATTCCCACACCAACATTATTGAAGCGATGTGGAATCATTTTAACAGAAAATGGAGCAAACCCAGTCAACATCCAAAGAAGAGCATTGAACATCCATCAAGATACCTGGAGAACTATTCCTAAAGACTACTTAAAGAAATGACAAGAAAGTTGTGCAAGAAATTTCAGGCTTTGGTGGAAAATAAAGGTGCTCATACTGAATACTGACTTTTAAGCTCATTAGAACTGTTCAAACTCTCTTTTTGCCTTGGCTGTTTGAATAAATTGGTGCACAAAATCTAAAGAAATGAGGTGTAGCTAAAGACTTTTACATAGTACAGTCGTAGTATTTAGTAAAAAACTTTAGTACTTTTGATACACTGTGCTCATTCTGATGGGAATGCTTCTGTTCATTTACATTTTTACACACTTTTAGAAATCTTTGTGTTGTACCAAACTACTTTTACTTTGCATTTGTGGTTTTTGTTGATTTTATTGAAAGATGATTCTCTCAGTGTCGCTGACACAGATGAGATTAAAGTAGAAAAGCGCTGGATTATGATCCCACAATCACGAGTTGATCTAAAAGTTCTCATAAACAGACTCAAAAACACCTTCATCCTTGTCTTTTGTCTTTTGTGCTGCCTGTGGAGGAAAAATGAAAGGCAGGTCAACATTTACATGTTTCATTTTGACACCACGTTATTTTGAAAAGACATTCAAAGTTCACTGACCTTTTTGGGGGGTTCCTTTTTCTTGGGTTTGGCTTTGTCTTGGTCATTCTCTCTGCTGGCAGGTGAGCTGTCCAGTACATCATAAATAGACCTGGGACGAGGCTCTAGACTCTGAAAGAGATCTTCATGTCAGTATCCAAATAAATGTTGGAAATGACCACATGAATGTAAGGAAGTTCAGGTGAAAGACACTGATGAGGAGAGAGGTGCTCACGGCATAGTAGGACTGAGCTGCTGTTGTATCCAAGCTATCGTCCTCCTTCTTTGTCACCTCCTTCTCTGCTTTGCTTTGCTTTTGTTTTTTCTCGCCAGCTCCATGTTTCTCAGTCTAAAGATGGAGTTGGATTCATCAAAAAAAAAAAAAAATCACAGGTGTGCAACATACAAACGAGTAAAACATGAGGCTTTCTTCACAGCTGCTCCCTTTCTAGTTTTTTGTCTTGTGTTTGTATTCAGAGTTTATGGCGCTAACTTCATTTTTGCATTCAATGCGCTTGCTGTATAAGAGCTCAAGTCCACTGGGACTACAAAAGAAGCACAGCCACTGATAAGATGAAGAAATTGAGCATGTTGCAAATCAGAGTATTAGGTTTTCTTTGGCTCAAATCAGTGTGTAAATGATTATAATTCAGTAGTTCAGTAACAGCAGTCCCAGTGCAGTTTATGAGGCAATAAAGACATGACAAAACTGGTGGCATGTGACTATTTCCATTAGTCTGATTTGGGTTTTGTGGTTGAGACTGAGATGACACTGCCTGATGTTGGACAGCTGTTTGTTATTGGCAGTATAATTGTTCACACTTATTAAACTTAAGTATAATCCGGATTAAATCATATAATCAGTTTCAGATGAAAATTCCCACTGGGGCATTTTAAATTCCAACTTGTAACTTAATCTAGAGAGCATGCCTCGGGTTGTGTGATTACTCATGCGATTAATAGTGGGTCAGTGACCCTCAGGACCACGTCCAAAGGGGACAACCATCCCACTGGGGTTAAATACCTTTGTTTGTAGCACTGAGCAAGCCTCTTGGATCAAGTACTTGTCAGTCAATTCTGGAAAACTGTATACAGTTAAGACTTTGTCAGAATATCCCTCATTAGACTGTGACACAACTCTGGTGTGTTGTAACCTGCTGTTTCTTAACTATTGCCTGCTTAACAGCAGGATCAGTCTTACCCAATGTCCTCTGAAGACATACACTGAGCCGAGCACACTGAAGATCAACAGCACACCCGTGAAAACGGCCATGATGATGAACCCTGTGTTAACCGGTTCCTTGTAGCCTTCATCTGGAAAAACCACAAAGACAAAAAATAAATACATTAAAAAAAATTATGTCACCCTGTGGTGGACTTCATCACAACGGGATAAACATGCAGATCAAATGGCCTTTGGCGTCTCTTCTGGCTAATTTCTCAAGATGTACAGGGGTTTCCAAAAGAAGATTCGGGACCCTTCGAAGGGTCGGAAGATAGATCTCAGGGATAGCAAAGCTACTGGAAGGATAAGAAAGAAAAAATGTTTTTTTTTTAATTACACAGAATGCTGTTTATTTATTCTTTTCTATATGAACTAAGCAATACTTTTTCATCAGTACGCATGCCCTTTAAGAGCCAGTGGAAAATAGCAAACTGTATATGATCCCCCTTTGTGGGACTGTAAGGATTTGAAAGCCTATTCTTAATTAATTCACCTTAAGGCTGTGTTACAACTGCGACCACTGTGTACATTGGCGTACCCCCGCCCTTATGTTGCTTGTCTGTGCTTCATGGTGTATAGTCTGATAATATCTGTGCTGTTTATGTGCTATGGAGTTTTTTGTGCTTTCTCCTCATGATGACTCACTTGTTACAGTCACCAAGGGCAGAAACCTTTTTTTTCTCCTGACCATGCCCCCATATGTTACATATTTCACTGTCTACCCCTTCTTTTATTTGCTGCCTAGCCTGACCTGTCTCCACAATGTAAGTATGTATATTGTATGTATTGTCTGTATGGTCATCTAGGTCTGTCATCTCAGCTGCAGGCAACTGCAACTGACAAATAAAGCTTATCCTAATTTTGATTATTGCTTGTATTTGTAAAGGATGCAACTATAAAAACGTCTTATTTTTAGTGTTGTTCAATAGCAGCAAGGTATCATCGTAGTTCAGTCACTGACCCCACCAACCTCCTTGACACTAATAATATGTATCAAAGCAGCCCTGAAAAATCTGAAAAAACGCAGTGAATCTGTTTCTTAAGGCAGGTCTTCCTTAGTTAGAATACTTTACTGCTGAGTAACTGTGATAAAGATGTCTTACAGTTGGAGCTTTCATCTTCATTTTCTTTCTTTTGGACTAACCTTTCACTCGAAGAAACCAATCCACCTTCACCGTTTGATACTGGCAGGAGTAAAGTCCTGAAAGCTTCAGGTTTTTCAGCTCCAGATGCCAGGAAAAATTTTCCTGTTTGGTATCCATTGTAGGGATGGTATTATTGTATATTGTTTTGTTTTTTGGATCAAAGCATGTCAAGCAGCCATCTTCCGTTTGGTTTACTGCTTTGATCAAATTGCATGTAATGTTGAGATTTTCACCTCTAAAGGCCACAAAGACTTCGCGCTCCAGACTGATACCTGTGAAAAGACATGTTAGAGGTTCACATTAGGGCTGAAATGACTCAGCGCTGGACACGAAATAAATTTGCTGCAGTTCATTTATTCGCCGATCTATTTCTAGACTACAGGGTTAGTCGCACACGTAAGCAACAGAAAACACTCATCCCAGTCAAATAAATATCAGTCACAACACAAATGTGGTGGCTCACTTGGTGAATCCATTGCTGAACAGACAGTGAGAAGGAAAAATGCAGGTATCAGGTATGTCAACTTGAAGAAAAGGGTCCAAAACGGTTGAGATTCCATGGTGCAATTGGGTAGTTTGATAAAGGTGTCTGTATTCTTTTTCGATGACAATGTTTTGTGACTCTATAGACTGTTGAAGTTCCTCTTTCTGCCAAAAAACACTTCCCCAAAATGTTTGATGCACACTGACGCACTCTAAAGGGAACAAGCAAAAACAGCACTTTACATGTTAGTCTAGGACATGGCAGACAATATTAAAGTCTAAAAACACTAAAGGTTAAAGACTTTTCACAGGCAACTCTAAATGTTTTTGTTTTGTCCAAAGAAAGACTTCTCCTGGTTGCAGTTTGCTGTTACGTCACCGTCTGGATGGGAAGCAAACTGCAGTTTTGGCTTTCGTCCACAGTGAGACAGTGTTGGCGAAGTAACAGAGTGAGCCACGAGTGCGCACCTCGTCATGTGGTTTTCAGACGACAGCAGAAAGAGAAGACTCGAGCAGGGAGCGGAAATAAGTGTGTGTGTGTGTGTGTGTGTGTGTGTGTGTGTGTGTGTGCATGGCTGGAATTTAGCTGAAGGTGACAAATTGCCTTTTGTTAATGTGAACCAGCTGTCGCGGGTTGTGTGACTTCTTCACGGCAGTAACTCTCTGCTGAGTCGCTCTCTCTGAAGCTGCCAGTGGAGATGTGCAGATGTTAAAGTGTGGCAGTTATTGTTATTTAACTCCATTTGTCTTTTTAGTTCCTACGCCCTCTTCCTTCTCTCCGCCCGTCCACCTGACTTTTTCAGCGTTTCCTTTCTGGAGAGATTACCGTCCAACTCTGACCTCACCTCAGCCCACAGCATGAAAACAGACATAGAGAGGGGGAATAACATCTGGATGCCAGTCACTGAGAAATAACTCTTTCCATTTCATACCCACTATAATGTGCTTCTTATCTCTCCTCCTTCCTGGGGAGTGAAGTATAAAGTAAAACCACAGATAGTCAGGTTTACAGGAGCACAGCACAAAAGGGCACTTAACCTAAGAGGTCCTTTTAAATCTGACATGCAAACAAGTGCCTCACTGGAATTCTGAGTCACTAGAGTCACTGTATTGCCTTTTTAGTTTTAATCGGTGCACTGAAAAATGAGGTTATGTGCCTTTAATATACTGGATTGGACTTCTAACATCCCCTGAGTTTAAAAGTTTCCAGTGCTAAAACAAAGGTTTAATGAACTACTAGGCTTTGCTGAGGAACTTTACTTAGCTGGTGTTTCCCTTTTGCTGTACATTAGCCTTCTGCCCTGTAATATTATATAAGGAAGATGTTCAAGTTTTGATTTACTGCAACTACTACTGTATTTTGTAGAGGCCGTTTGAGTAAAGTGAACTTGATGTCATGTTCAAGAAACCAAATTGAGATGATTTGCACTTTGTGAAATGGTGCATTATCCCACTGGAAGCAGGCATCAGAAGCTGGGTACACTGTGGTCATAAAGACATGGACATGATGAGCAACAACACTCAGGTACGCTGTGGTAGCCACCACTCAGATAAATGTTCTTCATACCATGACAACACCACCAGTATAAAATGTTTACACAGGGATCCATGCTTTCATGTTGTTTCCACCAAATTCTGCCCGAACTATCTGTTTGCTGCAGCAGAAATCAACATGGAGTTTCTGAAATATGAAATAAAGTTATTTAGTTCGCTTTTCTTCCCCATTCTAATGCTCAGTGTGAACTTCAGCAGGCTCTTCTGATCATGTCTAAAAACCTTAATGGGTGATTAAACAACAATTATAAGTCCTTATTTACTTGTTAATGTTAAATCATTTGAATCTTTATCTCAAAGCTTTAAGGGAAAATGATTTATGAGCACAGTATTAGTAAACGTATTGGAGTATATTTTATGCTTATACTTTATACTCGCTTTAAATGGATTTATCTATACTTAATGTTACGTGTTACAGAACTTGAATACTTTCCTGCACTTAATCAGATTATATAGAGGAGGTCAAAATGACTTCAGTTTAACTTACTGCAACATTTTCCACAAATATTTTTAATTTGTGTTTTTAGCATGCAGATAAGAGCTTCTATTTCTTCACAATATACATATTTTATTATTATGACTGTAAGAGGATTTTAGAGACGCTGGAGGATGAACATCAAACAAATTACAGAGAAAATATTCTTTAGTATATTAAATAAAGAAAACAAACTAAGGCATGTTATGTACATATTGTTAGTTGGTTTAACCTCTAAAAATGCATTATATTTTGTATATTTATTCTTAATTTACAGAGTAAGTGGGTCTACAATACAGTGTAGAGTAAACATGCAAGTTTTCTATTAAAGTTTACTAGAAAAGTAAAAGATGTTTCTCTCGTTTCTCTGTTTCTGGCATAAATACTAGCAGCAGTTGCTTCTTATAGTTGAATATCGCTGTGTGGAGGACAGAAGGTGTTAAACGGTCAGATAAAAAGGATTTGTAACATTTTTAAGGAGACCACGGTGCAGAGATGTGATCCTCCAGCAGAGTGAGATTACAGTCTCAAATATACATATACCTGTCTGTTCCACGCTGAAGATGAGACAGGAGTACGGGGTAAATCACATCTCAGAGAAGAGGATGTGTCACACATCTGGCAGCAGCTGGATTGCAGAATTTGTCTGCATATGATATGCATGAGAGGGAGAGAGAGAGTTGGAGGTGGGCGTGTGTTGGGGTCTAAAAGCTAGCACAGCTCCCAAACCCTAAACTTTTTTTAAAAAGAGCTCTGTACCGGACCTGCCGCACACTCTTCTCTTAATTATCCTAAAGCTGGGAGAAGAGGGTGGAGAGAGCGTCGGAGAAAACAGGAGAGAAGGGAGAAGAAGTAAGTAGAGGGACCGTGGCAGCGACAGGGTGGAGAGGCGAGAGGAGCAGAGACATCTGGTATTCAAACCGCATGGGAGAGGGAGAAGGACTTCCTGCTGAGTCTTAAAAGCATCATCATCATTTCAAGTCGTGAGTATCGGCTCATTTGCTCATTTTTCCGAAACAGCTCCCAGCTTGTGATACTTCTGCTGCTGCGGCATTAGTTTGCAAAGTTGCAAAGTGTTTTTGTTCCAGCACAGCCACAAACCATAATCAGAACAGGTGACGGCTGGTTTGCGTGGTGCTGTTGTGCGGTTAATTTTCACTCCTCCTTTGATCAGCCTCCAAATTCAGACCTCCTGAGAACATTTACAATACCTCAGCAGTGAGTCATCGGCTTATTACTGTCCAGTATGATTCACAGATCTGTCATATGGATGCAGTGCTGATGTTTTGCTTTTCCCTTTGCTTGGTTGGTTTTCTGGGTCGCCTGCCTTTAGCCTTTCTCTTTTCTTCCCCATTAAAACTGGACTCTAAAAATCAAGAACTTGCCTTCCTTTTCTTTTTCCCAACCAAACTGCTGTTGCTCTCTCCACACACACAGACAGGTCCAACTGGAAAAAGCCTGTTTTCTTTATCCCTTCGGTTTGACAGGGAACAAGATTTTTTTGGTTCGCATCCTGCCCGATTATCAAGTAGCTGTGTTGTCATCAGTGGGGTTTTATTGGAGGGAAAGCAGAGACGTACAAGTGTTTTTACACGTCTTCTTTTTCCCTCTGTGGATCCTGGATCTGCCACAGTGACTGGGAGTATTACATGAGTCTCCAGCTTTCTAACCCCACCAGTGATCTTTTTAACCATTTACCCAGTTATGAAAAATAAGGTGCTGTTGGACTCACCGGATCAAGCTGTGGTCGAAGCATCCATAGTTTGATTTTATGAAAAAGGCTGGAGATAAAGCTGCCAGACAAGAAGTGAAGTCACATTGCATTTATGCTTTGAGCTATCAGTCATACTCACAAACATTTTTGTGTTGTTTGGTAATAAAGTACCAGGTTCTAAGGCTTTTTGGTAAACTCTATACCAGGGATGTCAAACAGGAGGCCCCAGGCCAAAATTGGCCTGGGAAAGTCTCCAAGCTGGTTCTCTGGAAAGCTTTGGAATATATGAAGAAAGGCATAATTTTGGACTGTATTTTATATTATACAGCTTTTCCTACTGATAAAGAACTTCCCCACCACGATTCATACTCTAACAAAGGAATGAAGTAATAGATAAACAATCAAATGACAGAATTGTTCCTGTTTTTTCACTATGGTCTATAGTAATTTATTTATTTATTCATTTATTTGTATATTTATTTATTATTTGTTTTTTCATTAGTATGCCTCCAAAGTAAAAAAATAAAATAAATACATTTTAAAAAATTATTTCATTTTCTGTGAATTAACATAAACATTTTGCTTCAAAATTATTATAGGACAGTTACAGAATAATTACAATGAGCTAAAAAAATTTCATAATTATACACATTTATTTCTTACAGTTTAAGTGAAAGATGTCTTTTATTTACTGAGACAGTAACAGTTATTACTGGCACACGTGTGCCATTTGACCCAAAGACTGTATATGAAAGATGCACATAGCCACTGCAAAGTCCGCCCAGTAACTGGCGAAGTCCCACTATAAAGCCTGAAGCTCAGTTTCAGTTTTCAGTTCAGTTTTCAGTTTTATTTGTCATATGCAAGTTAGCACAGGGTCAACA